TACATAGGAATAATACTCAGCAATTAAAAAGAATGAAATCTTGCCATTTGCAACAATGTGGATGGAACTGGAAGGTATTAATGCTAAATGAAATAATTCAGAGAAAGATATATGATTTCATTCATATGTGGGATTTGAGAAACTTAACAGAGGACCATAGGAGGAAGGGAAGGAAAAATAAGATAAAAACAGAGAGGGAGACAAATCATAAAATACTCTTAAAAACAGAGAACTGAGGGCTGGTAGGAATGTGGTGATGGGCATTAAGGAGGGCACTCTTCAGGATGAATACTGGGTGTCATATGAGATAAATCACTGGGTTCTACTCTTGAAGCCAAGACTACATTGTGTGTTAAACAACTTGAAAAAAAAAAAAAGGCTATCAGTAGATTTTTCAGCAGAATATTTTCAGGCCAGAAGAAAGTAGCATGATGTATTCAAAGTGCCAAAAGAAAACAAAACCCTGTCAACCAAGAATACTCTAGATGACAAAGTTGTCCTTCAGAATTGAAGGAAAATTAAAATTTTCCACACAAACAAAACCCAAAAGGGCTCATCACCACTAGACCAGTTCTATAAGAAATGTTATAAAGGGACTTCTTCAAGCCAAAGGAAAAGGACTAATCAGTAACATAAAAGCATATGAAAGTATAAATCTCACTGGCACAGTTAAATATATAGTTAAATTCAGAATACTCTAATGTTGTAACAGTGGTGAGTGAATCACATAAGCCCTGATATGAAGGTTAAGAGAAAAAAGGTTAAAAAATAGCTACAACTACAATAATTTGGTAATGGTAAAAAGATGCAAACTGTGATATCATAAATATAAAACAGGGGAAGAATAAAAATATAGAGTTTTAGTACATGCAAAGTTAAATTGTTATCAGCTTAAAATAGACTGTTAGAAATATGTGTTTTATAAGCCTCATGGTAAACCACTCACACACACCAAAAAAACTACAGTAGATACACAAAAGATAATGGAATCTAAGCATACCACTACAGATAATCATCAAATCACAAAGAAAGAGAGCAAGAAAAGAAGAGGGGAACAAAGGAATTAAAAAATAGCCAGAAAACAACAAATTGGCAATAGTAAGTCTATACCTTTTAATAATTACTTTAAATGTAAATGGAATAAATTCTCCAATCAAAAGACAGAGTAGCTGAATAGATTAAAAAATAAATAAATAAAAAACAAAAACAACCCAAGATCCAACTAAATGCTGCCTACAAGAGAGAAATTTCAGCTTAAAGGACACTCACCGACTGAAAGTAAAGCTATGGAAAAAGATGTACCATGGAAACAGGAACCAAAAGAAGGCAGGGCTATCAATACTTAAAATAGACAAAATAGACTTTTAAGCCAAAGACTGTAATGAGAGACAAATATCACTATATAATGATAAATGGGTCAATCCAACAGGAGAATATGACATTTGTAAATAGTTATGCACCCAACATAGCAGCATCTAAATATGTAAACCAAACGTGAACAGATATGAAGAAAGAAACTGCAATATAATAATAGTAAGGGACTTTAAAACCCCACTTACATCAATAGGTAGATCAACCAAACAGAAAATCTATCAAGAAACACTGAAGCTAAACTACACATTAGATCACATAGAGCTGACACTATTGCAGAACATTCCATCCAACAGTCATCTTAAGTACATGTGAAACATTCTTCAGGATAGATAGGTTAGGCCATAAAACAAGTACTAATAAATTTAAGATGACTGAAATCATATCAAGCATCCTTTCTGACCATATCAATTCCAAGGAGAAATTGCTAATTTCAAAAATTTGCAGTGATTACATAACATGCTACTGAATAACCAATGGGTCAAAGAGGAAACCAAATGAAATAATTTTTTAAAATATCTTGAGACAAATGAAAATGGAAACACAACATATCAAAACTTACAGGATGTTGGAAACCAACTTGACAATAAACTATATTAAAAATAAATAAAATAAACAAGCAGTTTACAAAAAAAACCTTTATGGGATGTATCAAAAGCACTTCTAAGAGGAAAGTTAAAAGCAGTAAGCATTTACAATAAGAAAAAGAAAGATCTCAAATGATCTTACACTTCAAGGAACCAGGAGAAAGAACTAAGCCAAAATTAGCAAAATGAAGGAAATAACAAAGACCAGATTGGGGAAAAATGACATAGAAACTAAAAAGACAACAGAAAAAAAAATCAATGAAACTAACAGCCGACTCTAACAAATATGTTTTTAAAAATCACCATTTATATATCTAGTACCCTAGAATAGTACCTGACACACACTAGGTATTCAAATAATGTTACTAAATAATAAAACATCAGAATAGAGAAAAAAAGGTTCTTAGGTCATTCAGCTCAATGTTAATGAATTAGTAAGTTATGAATCTGAGTAAAAAATGGATTCAACATAAATAATCATTTTTTAAGTGACCAAGAGTTCTGCTTCTGGCAATGATGGACTAGGTTACTTCAGATAAACCATCTTACTATGCAACTAAAAAGGCTGGACAATATATATATTTTTTAATTGTGTTTGAAAGTGGGGCACCTGATAGCTCAGTTGCTTAAGAGTCCAACTTAGGCTCAAGTCAAGATCTTGCAGTCTGTGAGTTCAAGGCCTGCATCAGGCTCTGTGCTGACAGTCCAGAGCCTGGAGCCTGTTTCAGATTCTGTGTCTCCTTCTCTCTCTCTGTCCCTCCCCCACTTGCAGTCTGTGTCTCTCTCTGTCTCTCTCTCAAAAATAAACAAACATTAAAACATTTTTAAATAAAAATTTTAAAAATTGTTTTTGAAAGCATCAGTCACTTATAAAAGCAGCAAGGATTTACAGATCCAAGATTATAGGATGTATATATGCCATTTTTCCTTCAAGGCATTTGTGGTGGCTAACAATTAAGAAGCTGAGCAGAGCCTGGAGATAAGATATACCAGAACTAGGGAACAAAAACCAGAGTTCAGACCCTTCCAAGGATGAAATGCAAGGTAAACATGTAGGCTTTCAGCTGGGACCCCAAAAGGTGAAACCACAAGAGTAAGTGCCTCCTTCCTTATCTTGTGACTTACTTGCCTCACACTAGTTCCAGTCCTACTACTAGGAACAAGATTAAACCATAAAAGACTAATCCTCGGGATGCCTGGGTGGCTCAGTGAGTTAAGCATCTGACTTAGGTCATGATCTCACAGTTCATGGGTTCGAGCCCCACATCAGGCTCTGTGTTGACAGCTAGCTCAGAGCCTGGAGCCTGTCTTTGGATTCTGTGTCTCCCTCTCTCTCTGACCCTCCCCTGCTCATGCTGTCTCTATCTCTCTCTCAGAAATAAAAAAAAAATTAAAAAAAAAAAACTAATCTTCATAGGATCCAAACCCAAATCATTTCAATCTCAATCTCAAGTGAATTAAGGTGATCTGGTATCATTAGTGTCCCTAGTCTAGTTGGCTGACAGATGCAAATGTCATACTTTTCTGTAAGAATATACAATCAAGAGCCACAAATTAGTTCTACAAATACAATGTTTGGCATTCAATAAAAACACCTAGTTATATGAGAATATAAGGTTTGACTGAAAGTTACGAGAAAAAAAAAACCAATAGAAACAGACCTACAGGAGATTATCATAGATAAACTTTAAAATAGCAATGGTTGGGATGTCTGGGTGGCTCAATTGGTTAAGAGAACAACTCTTTTTATTTTTTATAGTTTATTTTTGAGACAGAGAGAGACAGAGCATGGGTGGGGGAGGGGCAGAGAGAGAGGGAGACACAGAATCTGAAACAGGCTCCAGGTTCTGAGCTGCCAGCACAGAACCTGATGCGGGGTTTGAACTCAAGAACTGCGAGATCATGACCTGAGCCAAAGTTGGACGCTTATCTGACTAAGCCACCCAGGCGCCCCAAGAGGCCAACTCTTGATCTCGGCTCAGGTCATGATCTCATGGTTTGTGAGATTAAGCCCCATGTCAGGCTCCATGCTGATGGTGCAGAACCTGCTTCAGATTCTCTCTCTTTCCCTCCCTCTCTACCCTTTCCTCGCACATGGGCATGCGTGCTCTCTTGCTTGCTTGCTCTCTCAAAATAAATAAACTTAAAAAATTTTTTTAGTATTTTTATTTATTTTTCTGAGTGGAAGAGGGGGGGAGAGAGAGGGAGATGCAGAATCTGACATGGGCTCCAGGCTCTGAGCTGTCAGCACAAAGCCCGACATGAGGTCAGACTCATGAATGGTAAGATCACGCCCTGAGCTGAAGTTGGATGCCTAACTGACTGAGGCACCCAGGTACCCCAATAAATAAATAAACTTTAAAAAATAGCAATGATTACTATGTTCAAAGAATTCAAAGAGAAGACAGGGGATTTTGATAGACAAGTGGAAACTATAAAATAAAGGAAAATAACTACAATAAAATAATTGAAATTAAGAATTCAATTAGTTTGGGGTGCCTGGGTGGCTTAGTTGGTTCAGTGTCCAACTCCAGATTTCAGTTCATGTCATGATTTCATTGTTTGTGAGTTTGAGCCCCACATCAGGCTCTGTGTTGACAGTGTGGAGCTTCTTGAAATTCTCTCTCTGCTCCTCCCCAGCTCCCTCTCCCTCTCCCCCCATCTCTCTCAAAATAAATAAACTTAAAAAAAAAAAACCTATACAAACAAAAAAGAATTGGTTTAACAACAGATTAGAAATGAAGAAAAAAGAACCAGTGAACTGTAAAATAAGATGGGAGAAATTATCTGGACTGACGCATAGAGAAAGAAAAGGTTGGGAAATACAGAAAAGAGCACAAGAGACCTATAGAATACATTGTTGAGTGAAGAGTAGAGCAAGTATTCTACTTTCTCCCTTAAAAATAGAGTCTCACCTCTTTTCTTGCCATTGCACTGACTTTTCTAAACAAATATCTAAAGCCCATGTCTCAAAAGAAAAAAAAATGTACAAATAACACACAATTAAGATGAAGACTTTTTTGTTTTATTTATTTCTTTTACCTTTCCCGAGGTTGTTGCTGAAGCTTTTCAAGTCGCACTACAGATGGCTGGTCAGTTTGGGGCACTGCAGTTGGCATGCCAACAGTAACATTCAGGTCTGGGGATAGGAATGCTGGATATTCTATTGGCTGTGGTGTAATTACATTTCTGCAAAGATGATTATAATGTTAAATACTGAAATTATACAAAAGACACTTCTAAAATCAGTGGTAGCTAGCACTTTTACATTGTTAAGCTCACCTGTCTACCTTGAACCATCAGAGGGTAGAGCTAGGAAGACAAAAACGGTCAGAGATCCTGACAGAAGTGCTCTCTTGATTACTCTTACTACGAAAATGGGCAGCAGGGATGGGAAAGGAGATAAGGACCTGAAGTTCTAAAGTTTTTGAGCCGTATAAAGTGTTTAAGCCCAGACCTCTCTCCCAACCTCTAGATCTAAATTTCTATTTTATGGCCTGGCCAAGTTGACGCATAAAATTAATCATCACAAGTCCACCCACCACTTGTCAACCTGACACCCAGAAGTATCTCTTTAAATATATTTAATCTCCAAATCATAATAATAACATGACATAACTATCCTGCATACAACCAAAAACTCACTAGCCTCTTCCCCAGAATAAAAGTCTTTGCATGATGTTTACTCATCTTAATATCCTGAAACTTAAATAGTGTGGTGTAAGTTTAATAATACTTAAATATAATATAAAGTCAATAAAGCTTATGTTATATGATGATAAGATATGAGAGAGAGGAAAGAAAGATATTTATATATAAATATATATATTTTTCAGGTGGACCAGAGTAGCACACCCAAATGATGAATAAGTTGTCTCCAAAATCCAAAACTGCCACCAGTGTTGTACCTCTGTTGTGGTTATAGGAAAGGCCAGATATAACAATTTATCTTTCACCTTAGCAGGATTATCTTGACAAGCCGGATACCACTGGATCCTCAAAATTTCAATGAGGGAGAGGACCCCTGAATTTTTGTCAGAATTCTTTCTACACCCTCTGACATGCAAAAGTCTTACCTAAGTAATTCTAGATTAGTTGCTACCACTGTTGTTTAACATAGTACTGGAAGTCCTAGCATCAGCAATCAGACAACAAAAGGAAATAAAAGGCATCAGAAGTGGCAAAGAGGAAGTCAAACTAACTTTTCGCAGACGACATGATACTCTACATAGAAAACCCGACAGATTCCACCATCTGTATGATGAAAACTATAGAAAACTTATGAAGGAAATTGAAGAAGACACAAAGAAATGGAAAAACATTCCATGCTCATGGATTGGAAGAATAAATATAGTTAAAATGTCATTACTACCCAAACCAATCTACACATTCAATGCATTCCCAATCAAAATTGCACCAGCCTTCTTCTCAAAGCTAGAACGAACTATCCTAAAATTTGTATGGAACCACAAAAGACCCCGAATAGCCAAAGTAATATTGAAGAAGAAAACCAAAACGGAAGGCATCATCATCCCAGACCTGAGTCTCTACTACAAAGCTGTCATCATCAAGACAGTATGGTATTGGCACAAAAACAGACACACTGACCAATGGAATCGAACAGAGAACTCAGAATTGGACCCACAAATGTACAGCCAACTAATCCTTGACAAAGCGGGAAAAAGTATACAATGGAAAAAAAGACAGCCTCTTTAATAGACGGTGCTGGGAGAACTGGACAGCAACATGCAGAAGAATGAAACTAGATCATTTTCTCACACCATACACACAGATAAACTCAAAATGGATAAAGGACCTGAATGTGAGACAGGAGACCATCAAAACCCTAGGGGAGAAAGTAGGAAAGAACCGCACCGATTTCTTACTTGACACATCCCCAAAGGGAGGGTAATCACGAGCAAAAATGAAGTACTCATCAAGAGTACATTGATGATGACCTCATCAAGATTATAAGCTTCTGCATGGCAAAGAAAACAATCCATAAAACTAATAGGCAACCGACAGAATGGGAAAAGATAGTTTCAAAGACATATCGGATCAAGTCCTAGTATCCAAAATCTACAAGGAACTCACCAAACTCTACACCCGAAAAACAAACAATCCAGTGAAGAAATGGGCAGAAGACATGAACAGACACTTCTCCAAAGAGGACATCCAGATGGCCAACAGACCCATGAAACGATGCTCAGATTCCCTCATCATCAGGGAAATACAAATCAAAACCACACTGAGATACTGCCTCATGCCAGTCAGAGTGGTTAAAATGAGCAAATCAGAGGACTCTCGAAGCTGGTGAGGATGTGGAGAAATGGGCACCCTCCTACACTGCTGGTGGGAATGTAAACTGGTGCAGCCCCTCTGGAAAACAGTGTGGAGGTTCCTCAAAAAATTAACAATAGCACTCCCCTATGACCCAGCAATAGCATTGCTAGCAATTTACCCAAGGGATACAGGATACACTCTCAACAACAGCCAAAACATGGAAAGAGCCTAAGTGTCCATCAACGGACAAATGGATCAAGAGGATGTGGTTTATCTATACAATGGAATAATACATGGTAATGAGAAAGAATGAAATCTAGCCATGTGTAGTAACATGGATGAACCTTGAGGTTGTTATGCTGAACGAAATAAGACAGGCAGAGAAGGACAAATACCATATGTTTGCACGTATAGGAGGATTAGGAGGAACTTAATGGAGGACCATGGGGGAGAAAAAGGGGAAAAATAGTGGGGGAGAGGGAGGAATGCAAACCATGAGAGACTCTTGAATGCCGAGAACAAACCAAGGCCTGATGGGGGTTGGAAAGAGGGGAAGGGGGTGATGGGCATGGAGGAGGGCAGTTGTGGGGATGAGCACTGGGTGTTATATGGAAACCAACTTGACAATAAACTATTAAAAAATAAATGCCACATAATCCTATTACATAAATCAGAGTTCAAACACTTACGTCACAGGGTCTGTTCTTTCTGGAGGTGGTGCAACATTCATAAACATGGATGGCTCAATAATTTTCTGAAGAGGTTTTAACTGAAGAAAATCATAAGTGTATTTTAACACTGCTTAGTTACAATTACAGTGTGCTCTAATACTACTATCCTCCAGGACTATGAGATAAGCCTTAAACATATACAAAAAGAAATAGAATTTTGAGGGAAGAAAGAACTAATATTTATTGATCACTAAATATCTGTCAAGAACATTATACCTTTAATATTTTTTTAATCCTCTCAATAATCCTATGATACAGATAATTGTGCCTATTTTACAAAAAAAATGCTTAAGGATCACTACTTGGCTCAAGGTTATCCAACAAACATCTGAGCCAGGTTTTGAATGCAGCTTTATCTGTCCCCAGCAGAGTGCTCTTTCTACATTATCAAGACAGGGGGTTAGGGGACTATATTAATGAAAAGTTTATAGACATAAAAGCAAAAATCAAAAACTTTTATATTTCCCACTCTTTTTCACATAATACCTCCGCTTCATGTTTTTGGCAGAGTCTGCCTACATAAAACAATACATGCCTAGTCTTAGTATCTCCCTACGAATGTGACTGCCACATGTTTTACTCCTATTCAGACAAAAAAACCTACCTCTGAAGTTGGTGCTTATAAACTGTGTTACAAAATGGACTAAACAGAAGTCTCTATAAGGGCCAATTCATAAGAAAATAAAATAAGCAGAAGGAAAAGAAAGAAAAATCAAAGGAAAGAAGGAAAAGTATGAAAAAAGACTGTGTCTAGTGATTTCTTTTCTATATTACTTCTGATTCAAAGTGCATTAAAAGTTATTATGATATACCAAGGCAAAATTTTAGAATAACATTTCCAGGGAAAATATAGCAACAGACTTATTTAATAAGAATAATGTACCCACTCTCAATTCCTAATTTAAAAAACAACCAAGACTATAAAAAATAGCAAAAAAAAAAACAGAAATGAAAAATTACATGCAAAGTACAGGGGTCATATCCCCTATATAACAGCAGCACTGATGGCACTGGATTTATAAATGCCCCATAGTTTTGATACTACCCAGGGATATCAAGAGTTCTTTCAAACACTTGGTGAGAATGTATGTTGGTACAACACTTCTAGAACAATTCTTTGACAAGGCCATTGTTTTGAACAAAAATTTCCATTCTAGGAAGGTAACCTACGTACATAATAAAAAAGAAAAACAGGATACAGGTTAATGTACAAAAATTTCCACTAGAAGATGGATGTATGGTAATGAATTTAAAGGGGGCAGCCCAAGGTAGGAAGATTAACTTCTTTGCAAATATAACTTTCTTGATAAACCAAGGAAGACTCAAATATCACCAGACATTGAAATAACTGTTGGTGGGAAGGAGCATATGTGACCAGAGTAAAAAATATTATGTGACTATAATTAATGACTCCATTTTTAATAGTATTTTTCGATATAAAAATCTACACTTCTCATATACCTAAAATAATTTTGTTTTTAATCGAATGAAAACACAGACACACAAAAGCAAAGTTTTAATATAAAAGCATTTTGGATAAAGATTATTTTTAAATGTACATGGAAATAAAAAATGGTAGTTTCCTTTATCCTTAGGCTGGAGAAAAACAGCATTCTTTTAAAAATATTTATTTTTTTAAAAAAATATGTATTTTAAAGGATTTATCAAACTAGATAAGGGCTCAGAAGAGATTTGACTAAAGAGCTATAGAATAACTTTTTAAAAGAGAGGAACTAACCTGATGTGAAAATCCATAACCAAAGTTTCCATACGAGAACATAAACTCTACCTCCACCCTGCAGATAAACTAAACACGTGGCAAATTTATTTTATTGTTTGATCAGAAAGATATTTTAATAAAGTGATAGCCAACTAATATTTTTACTTCACCAATCTATTTTAAAAATCCACAAAACATGAATCTCCTGATTAAAAAGAACAAAACAAAAACATTCACACAAGGAAATCCTATAGAAGAATCTATGGAGTTCCTAAAATGTTAAAAACTTGATGTTAAGGAATACTGTATGATTGTTAAGGAGAAAATATCTGTTTATAATTAACAGGATTACCTTGATATACATATGAATATACATGCATATGGGTTTAAAGTATTTACTCACACTTCTCCTACCACCACTTCCATTTTCAAATAAAAATTTTATTTAGACACATGATTTCATCTTTCTGAACCCCAGCATGCTCAAATGTGAAATGAAGGAGAGTGTCAGAGGTTATGACCTCAAATGTCCGTCATTCTCTTTCTTATGTTCCTTGTCCCTGTTTTAGCTATCGGCAACAGAAGTCTCTTTGAATAAAAGATCAATTAATAAAAATAATTTTAAGTAATTAAAAAGGAATTCAAGTGAGAACTGTAAACTCTTCAGACACTCCTCAAGGAGAAAATTATTTTCTCAATTAAAGCTGAAGAGTCAAAAGAAGCAGTTGGGGCATTTTACTCTCTTATCTAATGATTTCAATTTTCTTGTTCACCATTTAGCAGGAAGGTAGCAGCATTAAAAAAAAAAAAGTGGAGATGAAGATTTTGTGAGCAAATATTGTTCTATTTAATACATTTCTATGAATGCAAATAGTGACTGGTAGAGAAAGAGAATAAAAACACTATCAGAGGTTAAAACTATATCAGAGCAAAGTTATATAAAATGTAAGTGTGTCCACAAAACTTTGGAAGTTTCAGTAAAGTTCTTACTGTATTTTTATTCAGTATTTGAAATTCTTCAATAAAGCACCCTTTCTGGAAAAAAGGAATAAATGATAAAATTCCCAAATACAGAGTCACTCATAAAATCATCCGTATATAATCTAAACCATTTCATAAATTTTGGAAAATCAGATAATGATTTTTAATGCACATGTTATTTTAATACCTAAATACAAATATAATGACTATTTGGAAGAAATAAAAATTCTATGTTGTATCAAAAATAAATGTTAATATTTACAGTTATGTTTTAGACAAAAATGTTTCTGCTAGTTATAGTTCCTCATTCTCCAAGTCTTAAAGGACCATGCCTGCATTCCTTTTGTGGGCTTTAACATACCTCTGCATGATAAGCTGACTCATGATGGGACTGCTTCTCTCACCCTCAGGACTGTTGCGATCTTTGTAACCAGGTAAACTTTGGGTATCCTTGTTCACTACCTCTCATCATCTCTGCCATGCTATCAGTCCTCCCATTTAATCCAGCATCCCAGGGTTAACCAGCAACCTTCCATCTTTAACTGCTCCGCTAAACATTCCCTCTTTATTATACCTAAGACTCGGCTTACTACTAAGGATGCTGCTTCCCTCACAGACTCCTCGCATGAAGGCCCACATACCTCAAGACCAGGAGGTGGAATAGCATCCTCCACATTCCCCTTCTATTGCTTCCAGATCATATTATTACACATAGATATAAGCAGTTTTCCATTTTTAAGCTTCAAGCTAACTGGCATGTGTTTCAGACATTCTGGTCATAATTCTCATTTAGTGCAAACTTTAGCACCTGGTTCACACATCCTCTCCACCCACAAAACCTAGAAATCTGCAGAACCTATTTAATCCCTGCCCTCTCAGTTCCTGACAAAGCATTATAATGAAGGAAGTAACATCTGATGGTACATGGCAGACATTACACAGAATTAGCATATTATATATGTTCTTCATGTAAAGTCACAAGATTTCTCAGAAAATTCATAAATACCAAAATAGATTTCCTTAATGATCCTGTCAATCTGCTCTTTACAGCTTTTTGCTCTTGATAGCAATCCCTTTTCCCAAAGTGGGGAGTGGGGAAACACTGTATTGTTCTAAGACTGCCTTTTTCTTCTTTTTTTATAAACTGGGCCTCTGCTTTTGACCAAAGAACTTGACCTACTGATTGATTCATCTCCCTTATATGTAAAGTGAACTTTTAGTCATACTTTTAACTACGGCAAATAATGGACTTTGTCCTCTAGGTCTTAGATCTGCCAATTAAGTCTTCACTGGAGTCAATTAATATGTTCATCTTGAATGTGCTTCTCAAATCCACTGGGTTTTTTTTTTTTTTAATTTTTTAATGTTTTTTTTTTTGTTGTTGTTTTTGAGAGACAGAGAGAGAGAGAGCGTGAGCAGGGGAGGGTCAGAAAGAGAGGGAGACACAGAATCCGAAACAGCCTCCAGGCTCTGAACTAGCTGTCAGCACAGAGCCCGACGCAGGGCTCGAACCCACAAACCGCAAGATCATGACCTGAGCCAAAGTCGGACGCTTAACCGACTGAGCCACCCAGGCACCCCTCAAATCCACTGGGTTTTAGACTTGCCTTCACTCAGCTCCTCTGATGAGTTTCAGTGTGTAGCAATGAGCTAGTTGGCAACCTGTCCTGAATTTGGTTTTGCTCTGCCCAAAGCACATTACATGCCTGAGCCTAGTCTGGGAAAGTGCAGGGTGAGTGTTAGAGTGGGGGTGACACTAGATTACTCAAAGGTATGAATTGAGGAACAGATACTCAAAGGTATGATGTTTTATAAGGCACTGCTCTAACAATATTTCACACTTTTGAATTTCCTCTTGCCTTTCTCAAAAAATTACAGTGCTACCCATCTTTCTGTTTATCACCTAGTCCTAGGCTTATCTGGTATACAGCCAAACAAAAAAATCACAAGTAATACTAGAGTTCATCCCAAAATTAATACTCACATTCTTTTTATAATCAATACAGGAATATTATAAACTCCAATATACTTAAATTCCTTAACTGGACCCTAGACCCTAACAATTAGCTGATGTTTCTGTTTTCTCCCAGAGCCTCAAAGGAATACAAGATGTATCAGGGGTGAGAAGGAACAAGGGATTCATGATACAAGCTACAGATCAATTATTTTTTTACAAAGCTATGAAAAACCTGTTATGTGAGTTTTAAAATTCAACTCAAGGTCTTCTTCCTCCATAATAAGTCCAACTATCCTCAGAAAGTAACTGATAATAATTGGTAATCATAACAATACACTTACGGCCTCTTCATGTATACCTGTGGAATAACTGTTATGCACTAAGATGGCCCTTCCATGTTTCCAAACATGATCTGTAGTCTTGTCATCAGGTCTTCCCAATTCATCCAAGTTCTAAATATGACCAGTCTGCATGAGGAATTCTACCCTAGATAGTAGTTCTAGAACTAAAACAAATGGTTTATAATTTATCCCTGCATGGGACCCAAATACCAAATGATACAGCTCAAGCTTTAGAGACCAGACAAACCAGCATAAATTTGACTGGAATAATTCTAGACTATAATACTTCCCTTGAACTTTTACTGTCCAGTGTGGTAGAGTCTGTGCAGTAACCTACACATGTTGTTGGTACCCCGGTAAACACTTCAGGAAAAGTAAAATCATTAATAAACTAGGAGGCCTTCATGAAAAGATGTTCAATAGTATTGGCTATTAGGGAACTACAAATTAATACCAAAAATGAGGTATTACTAAACACCTATGAGAATGGCTAAACTATAAAATGGTCAATGCTGAAGAGAATGCTGAGAAACTGCATCATTCACTTCTGATGAAGATGCATTAACGGCCTAGCCATTCTGGAAGACAGTCTGGCAGTTTCTTTAATGACTCTACATGCAACTATCTTACAAACAAGAAATTTATCTGAGAAATGAACACGTGCACTCACACAAAAACCTATACATGAATGTTTACAGCAACTTTATTCATAGCAGCCCAGAACTGGAAACCCGGATGTCCTCCAATGGGCAGACAGTTAAACAAACTGTGGTATACTCGACAGCAGAAAAGGAATGAACTAGTGACACACACAATAACCTGGATGACTCCCCAGAAAATTACACTGAGTGAAAAAACCCACCATGAAAAGGTTACATACTGTGTGATTCCATTTATGTAATATCCTTGAAATGAGAAAATTACAGAAGAGAAGAAAAGATTAATGGTTGGTTGCCAAGGGTTAGGAGGGGGTAGGGCAAGAAGGAAGTAGATGTAGCTATAAAAGGGAAACATGAGGCTTCCTGGTAGAGGTGGAAACATTCTGTATCCTGGTTGAGATATTATGCCATAGTTTTGAAAGATGTTACCATCAGGGGAAACTGAGCAAAGGATACATGGGGCACCTGGGTGGCTCAGTCGGTTAAGCATCCGACTTCAGCTCAGGTCATGATCTCATGGTTTGTGGGTTCAAGCCCTGCATCGGGCTCTGTGCTGACAGCTAGCTCAGAGCCTGGAGCCTGTTTCAGATTCTGTATCTCCCTC